TTAGAAGATAAAATAAAAAAAGAACAAGTTAAAAATCACTTAGAAAAGTTAGATGCTTGCAAGTCACCAGGGCCTCCCTCCTCTGGTCATGACTCTTGACCGAGTTTGGCAGGAGGCTGTGTCACTTAGCCTAGTTCAGGCTTGTGGCCTGCAGGGCGGGCCTATATGACGAGTCTTCGCCGATGTTCTGATCGGTGCAAGGGAAGGCAGCAGGCCTATTCCCCCACAGCTGTTATAGTCCTAGCCTTCACAACCTCCTTTGTCAAGGAATTTCACAAGTTGACTGTGCGCTGCGTGAAGAAGAACTTCCTTTTATTTGTTTTAAACCTGCTTCCCATTAATTTCATTTCATAGCCCCTAGTTCTTATATTATGGGAACAAGTAAATAACTTTTCCTTATTCACTTTCTCCACATCACTCATGATTTTATATACCTGTATCATTCCTCCCTCTAATCAGCCACAGACTCACCCATGCGGTGCCTCCTGCTGGTCGTCTCGGGAATTAGCTCACCAGTCGTTGGAGCGCCCTCTGCAGGCCAGGTGTCCTGCCTGTCGTTGCCCCCCCCATGTCCCTCCCAGACCCTGGTGCCCTTGGCTTGGGTGCTGCGCCCCCTGGCAGTACCCCACTCTCTCTCTGGGTCTCCCCACCCAAGGAAACCCCCCATCCCCTATCCCCACGTCGCCTCAGTCGTGGCTACTGCCAGTCACCATCTAGCCCCTGTGCCCTGGGGCAGACTGCAGTCTATCAGCCAGTCATCACAAGCAACAAGGGGTTTGCTCCTTTCCCCAGCCCCAGCCCTCTGCAGGGCTTTTCCAATCCTTTCAGGGATGGAGTGGGTGTTCACCCCGTTACACTCCCCTTAGCCTCCTCTTTTCCAAGATGAAAAGTCCTAGCCTCTTTAATCTCTCCTCATATGGAACCCGTTCCAAACCCCTAATCATTTTAGTTGCCCTTCTCTGAACCTTTTCTACCTCCTCCTAGCACTGGCCAAAATGGCCAATTACAAGACCAGGAAGAGGAGGTTGGCTGATGGGGTTTCCTGTGACTGTGGGGCCTATTTCCGATCTTCCGGTCACTCACGCATCCAGGCGGAGTTCCTCTGGGCTGTGTCCACTGGCTCCCTTGACACCTTCGCGGAGTAGTGGGCACTGTCCGGAGTGCTCTGCTCTGTGTCCTTGTCAGGTTCCCTTCGTTTAGTCCTGTGACCTCGCTCCCATCCCTGTTAGATCTTTAGTTGTGCCCTGTATTTAATTGAGATCCCGGACCTTGTGGATCCTCCCCTTAGGCTGGGGGAGGTCCGCCCGCTTCTGCCCACCCACCTCCAGGATCCCAGCGGGATTACTCTTTTATATCTTTTTGGTCTGAGTCCGTCACACCTGGTAAAATTTGTGTGGCATGTAAAGTTATAAGATTCTATTACATGGTGTTACTAAGACATGTTCCAAGTCTGGAGAGCAGCCAAAAAAACAGTTCCCTAGAGACAAAAGGCTATCTGATGTCTCAACCAGGTATCAACAAAATCAAATGGACCATAACCTGGCTAAGTGGGTGAGAAAGAGGGTGTGCGCATAAAATCTACATCTTGACAATGAAACAGCTTGGGGTGCCTGTCCACACAGACATTCTGCCTCCTAAACTTCAGCTGGAGATGATTCTCAAAGAAGAAAAAGAACTACAAGATGGGGGAGCAGACACCCCAAATGATCTCTCTCTTTCTCTCTACCTATGGCATTCACAACACTGGAAATACAAAGG